AAAAAAAAAATGTGGTGGACAGAAAAACGTCGTTAAAAAGTTTTAAATTGAGGCCCTTTAAGGGTTTGTTTTAGAACTTTGATTTTATGCTTTTTATTTATCCGTAACTATTGTTGCAATTCATTACTGCTCTTTTTTTAAACTTAGCCTGAAACGAAATACGGTTTCTCACCAGCCTCTACAGTGCAATAAGCATTACAGTTTAAAAAGACTGAGTAACACCAGAGCAAATGTCAATACACTTGAGTCTTAAAATTAAGCTATTACCTTCTTGTCTGTAGTCATCCTCATTTTAGGATAATGAGAATCTATAAAACAGAACCCATCGCATGCACACATCACACACTAAAATGTTCTACCAGGAAATGTCTGTGATGGAGTATACAGTGCTGCGCAAAAGTCTTGAGAATGGATAAGGAATGGACGGGTTGTCCAATCCTTGTATTTTTCTTCCAAGTTTCCAGACCCTCATTTTTAGGCACTTTGTTACTAACAGTCTGCCACAAAACACAATTTGTTCTATTTGTTTCTTTAGGGGAACTTGTGAAAAATGTCTAAACAAACACAGTTTGACGGATATTTGGACTCAGACTGGACTAGGTTAACAAGGCGATTCCTAAAAATGTTGCATATCTCAGCATGGTGAGCAGCATTTTTTTTGAGGAAGAAAAACGGAGGAAACTGGACAGATATAGGTCAATAAGTGGCAAGAAGGGGGGAGAAGTCCAGGAAAGACCTGACACGGTACCTGATAGAAACATGTGGCCCTGCAGCTTAAGGACATTAGAAATTCTCTGTATAATAGTGGCTGCCGAAAAGACACAGGAAAGGCTGAGGTGTGCCTTATTATTACTTAAGAACTAGGAAATAAACTCGACTAGACATCTTGTCAAATGAAACTGCGAAAACAAAAAGTACCATCCCATTTTGATCCACCTTGCCATACCACCTGGAAAGCATCTGAGCAACTGGCTTCATTTGTTAGCGTGACAATGACCCCAACCTCACTGCTAATGCAGTAAAAGCATATCTGGACAGAAAAACATGGACTGGCCTTCAACATTATTGAAGCAGCGTGACAGAGAAGAGAACAACAGGCAGCCAACATCCAAAGAAGAGCTTTGAATGTCCTTCAAGAAGCCCTGAGAACTACTGCTGAAGACTCTTTACAGACAGGACGAGAAAGCTTACTACTGAGATTTCGGGCTATGAGGAATAACTGTGTTCAAAACAAATATTGACTTTCAAAATCATTAGAATGAAACTGTCACGGCCGAGGCCGCCTCAAAGGTGAAAGGACTCAAATGCTGGACGCTGAACAGC